AAAGACCTGAGTAATAATGCTTTAATTAACACTGTTTCTATTAGATCTGAAACCTGAAATTAATTTTGTTGTTTTGTGTGATCCTAATTTGTATAATTCTAATAAATATCAGTTCAAAAAATACCTATTCGAATGCTATTCATGTATTATACCATCTCTAATCTTATACATATTGTGGAATTAATATTTTGTAGAAAAAAAAAAAAATTCGCAAATATTTTAAACATTATTATATAAATCGCGGTAAAATATAAAAATACGGTGCTTTCTATTTACGTTTAGCTGATACTGCCGGTTAAACACCATATATATGATGCCTTGATTACACTGAACGTTTGAGATCATTATTGAACATGATATTATATAGGTACGTCCTAATTTATTTAAGGCAAGGAAAAAAAACAACTAAATTAATCTAAAATGTGCGTTTTAAATTCTGTAGCAGTACTGGCCGTGTAGTTTTTAATTAATTCGGTTTCAATGAAAATGCTGCGCATATTGGAAAATAATCATTAGTTTAAAATGACTACACATAAATCTCGGTTCGGGGATTTGTTTGCGTAAACTATAAACGCGTAACGCCATCGTTTCAAATGAAAAACGTATAACTCGTGTTGGAGTAAAATGTACTAAAATATTTATAATTATTTTCTAAAATAAGTTGCTGCTCTTTAGTATTTTTTTATACGAGAGCATTATTTTTTTTTTTTTAGTCTTAATATACTAATTTATCAATTTATGGCTTTAGTAGTTAAAGTGGCAAAATTATAATGGTTCTTTGAAATTGATTTGATTATGGAATTATATGTATAACAAAAACCTCAAATGTCGTAGCTATAATATCGTTATTGTTAATACGGTTTGTAAAAATACAACTATCGACCATATTTTCGTTATTAAAAATACATATTTTTTGAGAAAAAGCGTTAAGAGTCACAGGTCGTTGGCTCCCGTCACTGATGTTGTATATATAGTTCATATTATGTGACCTTTTAAGAACGCGTGTTTAATATTTAATAAGTTTTCCTCAATGATTATTTTGTTTTATGAGTGTTTTTATTTTCTTACGACGATGACCTTTTTACGGAAGTTCACGCCACGGTTTGAGTATCTAACACAAATAACACATCGTAATAATGTTGAGACGTTAGTGGGGCCATACCCACACATTCATCTTGTACACTGTCTGGACTAAAATATATACTGTCTTGTCTGTTATCGTAACTTCTTGTCTTTATTTATAACAAAACCGTGTCATAAACGATATATATTTTGATGTGTACGATTTTATTTATTAAGTATATACTTGAATATTTTTATTTTGCAATATATTTGATAAAAATTTACTTTATGTGTGTAATACGAATTATCTTCTTAATCCGCGTAGACAATTATTGCATAATTTTTTTTTTAATTCACTCAGTTGTTCATTATTATGACAATATTATTGTATGAAACAGTAATACTATGTACATTACGATATACACCATTCTGCTGCAGTAATCCGAGACCCCGGGAATCGTGGGTTGCGGGGGATTAAGTAAATGTGTTACTAATTAGAATAATTTATACTGTAACAAGATATCTAGTTCGGCGGGTGCATATATATTTTGGTGTACTAAATAACAGTTATTGTTTATTAATTCTTATATTATCAAAATTGTTCAATATACTGCCGTAGTGTCGTATACTTATAGATGTTGTATCTATATCTATATATGTATATACATATATATTAGACATAATCAAATTATTTTGATAATATTATAAGAGAAGTTTGTTAGGTATAGAAATACACAAATTTGAATACCAAAATTATTCAGCATTACTTATACTATTAACTAATTCCAGTATTACAGTTTAACTTTGTTTTATACTATTTTGTATCTACACTCACAATTCATAAGCACGTATAAAAGCGATTTTCCTGTGTTCGTGATAAAATAATTTGAATAGTACATGCAATATATTTTGTACCTTATCATATTGTGCAATTTTGTAAAAATATGAAATAATATTGTACACTCTCACGACATGTAAAAAAAAAATTGGTCAAGAGTGACAAAAAGTTCTATAAAAGGCATTTCTATACCTGTTTATATAAGTTAAATTATTACTGGAAAGTGTATAAAGGCTTAAAAATAAAAATAATACAGTCAAACCTATAATTTTAAACATACATATAACTTTATAAGTACAATTTTTAAAAGTAATGATCAAATTTTCATTATTAAGATATATTTAAAAAAAATGGAAGTAAACAAGTAAAATTTTGTATAACATTATATTGTAAAAATGGTATTAAAGAATAAATTGATTTGAATTTTATTGGTTATTAATTATGTGTTATTTATTGCTAATATTAAAGTGCCACAGTGTTGTATAACAACAAATGCTACCACCACATATCGAGCATTGAAAAATTTACACCAGTTTGTATATTTTTTGTTTTGGTTGTAAAAAAATGCATAATATATATACTACTAAATAATGTTGAAACTAAAATTTATGTATGAAAGTTTTGGAGTAATAGATCCTTACAATAGTAGGGAATTTAAATTTAAAAATTCCAAAGTAAAATTGTTTCGACATTTTTCAAAATAATTATATTATTTTAAATTTTTCCAAAACATTCAATATCTACATTTTAATTTTACTACCATGATTCTATTATAAGAATTTAAATTCAAGACATTCTTATAAGTTCTAAAAATAAATTGAATTAATATGTTTTATTTTTTAATTATTATTAGATTTCTAAAATTTAAAACAGCTGTATTTATTATTTATTACTGTGGTTAATAATAAGTTTCGTTTATTAGATTCAGATTAAGATTATGTAAACCTGTAAATTCAGTCCTCATCTATTTAATGGGTAACATAGCCAAATTTTATAGTGTAAAATTTAAATTGTGGTATTATTAGGAATATATTAAAATTAAAAATGACAATATTTCACTGAAGAACTAAGTAGTTACAGCGTTTTTTGGTTTGTTATAAATTATAACATATACTATTATATTGTAATTATTTAGTTAGACAATACTTTACAAAAATTATGGACATTATATTATGGAAATATTATACTAGGATTGAGTTTTGTGAGTATATAGTGATTCTAATGAGCTTCGTTGACTTGGTGAAGAAGAAAATCGTTTGTTGCCAAACGAAAAAAATCACATGAGTACATGACAAATATTATGTATCAACATTCGTATTTTTGTGTATATGCCAGCAATGAGTACGCAGGTAATATAATATTGAATGAAAAACGGTAAAATGAAAATTTAAACCTGTTGAAATACAAATACTTCACTAATTAATGAGTATGAGTTGAATATTGATTTATCGTGTTGTATTTGTATTTTTAAATATTAATTTAACATGTTCCCGTTATTTTATTCGTACTTTTTATACAATTATAATGAGAAATTCCGGCAAAAAGCCTCCGACACACACATATATAGACATTATAAATCATATACCTAATAAGTTTATACAAATGTCTTTTGTGTATAATACGCAACCAATATGCAAATTAACTCTCAAAACTTGTTTACGATTAAATTAATTTACTTTTCGGCCTACTAGTCTACTAGCTAGTTTATCATCATAGCATGATTTTTACGTATGATGGGCCAGTTGCAATTCTAATGTCCTTGTTTAGTTACAACCGGAAATGATTTTGCTTTCAACGAGAAATATGTATAAAACTTTGTGTTTAAATACAGAAATTGATTTAAAAAGAGAGCAGTGGAGAAACATGAATAACAAATGCCGTTATGTTATGATATCAATGTGTGACACACAACTAAAATGATAAATAATTTTGTACAATATATAGGTAAAAGGTATATATTATAAATTTACGTCAAAATTTCAGACAAATACTGCATTTATTAATATATTATTATTAACCATAATCATCATACGATATTAACTCATCACATTGGCATAATATTTTAAACAACAGTACGATTTTATGACAATAATAATAATAATAATATATTATTTGCGGAGGTACATCATAATAATAAATAGTCTAATTATCTACAACGTTTGGGTTAATATATATAATAAAATATATTGGTAGGTATAGTATAATGATAAAATACAACACGTTTGAAAAATAAATAAATAAATAAATAAATAAATATTAATAATAATTATAGTAGGTTGATTATGGAATTAAACTAAATAGATGATGGCACAACCTATAAGCTACATTTGAGAATACAACATAATAATATAATGTACTATAATATGATGTATACGAGACCTACCTACGCGTATCAATGTTAATACGCGTCTACTCAAACACTAAATTACTAGGTAGGTACAACTATACATAACAACTATGCTATTACGACTACTGATGTTATTGCTATTACATTCTAAGACAACAACTATACATTTTTTTTTTTGTATTTGTATACATTTTAAATACATATAAATGATAATATTATGTGCTATATGAATATAATATAATATGGTCCGAAACGAAACAAAAAGAGAAAAATACGTTTGAAACAGTCCTCTTTTTGTTACGTTTCAGTGAATAATAATATATAACTGTTTAAATTAATAATAATTATGATATTTTAATATTTTTATTATATAATATTATATTATAAATAAATAATGATACGCACTGAGCAGCGGCGCTATCGTTGTCAAATACATCTCCCGAATTTATTAAGAACCTACATCCTACAGTGTTATATAATATAATATGTGTGTTGAGTGTAATACTATACATAGTTATCTACCAAGAATGCTCATCCTTGTTTTTTTTTCTTTAATGATAGCGGATCCATGTTTTTGAAAATTTAGGTGAACCTAATTCAAAAATCGATTGAGCAGTTTTTCAGTTATTAAAATGTTTATACTAAGGATAATGTTATTAAAAATAGTTTTAGAACAAAAAAAAAAAAAAAAATGTAACATCGAATATTTATTATACTTCGTATTACACTCGTTTGATTTAGATTTTTATGCCAACATTTTCAGAAAAATCGTCGGTTAAATTATTTACAGTAGAAAGGGGATGAAGGGAGTTCTAATTTAAAATACAGATGTTTACATCTTTATAAGTTAGAATATATTTAAAAATTTAAAAATCAGAATTTAAATAGTTTTATTATTAAATAAAAAAATAGGGAGGAAGGTGAACATTCTCGGTGAATTACGCTGTATATATAATGTCGTGTATAATATATATTGGATGTATAAGTCAGACTCGGGGTTCTGAATTTCCTGATCTCATTTTTTATTGTGATTGTTTTGTGACATAATAGTTTTTTTTTTCGGACGGACGATTTTAACGGTATCTGGGCGCCAGTAGAATAAAACACCGTAAGTCGACGTGGGTATTTCGATGAAATTCCGTATAATGTCTCAAAAATCGTGTCACGACGAGTTCGATAATAAATGTATACACACACACACATATATAATATATATATATATTTATATTAAATTGCGCGGAACCCAATCGAGAAGAAAAGACTGTATAATACAAGTCTCGGTGGACTATTTAATACACGGGACGGCGCAAGAGAGTAACGAGACGGGTGGTTGGAGGGGCATCGGATGAAAAGTCAACAAAAAAAAAAAATAAAGAAACCCGATGAAATTCAATCCGACGGGAAAGTCTGGACACGTACACACAGGCGCAGCACGCAAACAGACGTAGGTACACACTTAAATACAGACGAAATGCGTTCGGGAGACGATTATTCAACGATCATTGCGCGCGGCGGAGAGTGATAAATTCACCCGGGTGATTGCGTGTGTTCAACCGGGTCACATGGCCAACGGTGCCGGATTCACCGTCACTTTTGATCCACCGCTCGCCGCGGACGACGTCTTCCTCGGGTCGTCGTCCAAATCGTTGCCGTCCCTGTGGTTGTAGTTATCGCCGTCGCTGTCTTCGTCGTCAGCCGACACCGATTCACCGTCTTCGTCTTCGTCGTCGGGCGACAGATCGTTTTTCCTGAAACCCACAGTAAACGACGCGTTAAGTCCGTGTGTTATACTTTCAGTATTACACGACAATCCCACGCGCGGTCAAACACGCGCGGGGGCTGTCAGAAATTGTTTTTTTTTCTATTCCCCCGATTCGTATTTCTAAACCGTAAAAACCTATCCCTGTCGTCGGGTTAAACCACACCAATCCTTTTTGGCGTTTGCAGGTTTCTGCAGTATTGTTATACCGAAAGAAAATGACAAATGTCAGTTATACACAATTAACCGATTGCGCGTAATAACTTTTGCTCTAATGGTTTTTTTTTTTTTTTTATACTTAATACAACCATTGATTTTAGAATATATATAGTTGTCCCAGTCACTAATGGGTGGCTTCTTATTCCAAATATTCAATACATTTTATATCTCAATAAAAACTAAAAAAAAAATTTAAAAAAAGGAATAATATATAATATATGTAAAATCAAACTATTACGATTGCTAACAATTTTTCGATTATTTTGTTTTTATACATCGATACATTGTACCCATAAATATTTATATAATGTGCGTCAACGACCAAAATGAACGCTTCAAAAATAATAATCAAAAATATCTACTTTTCAAAGATGCATTTTATTTCTACTGGACACTCATTATTGTGTGTTTTGTGAGTTATATACATATAATAGGAACGAGTACCTTCTACCAATTTAGATTCGTGAAAACGCGTTAAGAACTCACCGTCGCCGCTCAACGATGATACATACACAGTTATTATATTATCATATAAATAATATGTTATACTTTGTCATTTTCTTTGACTACCGACCACTTAAAAATCAAAGACCGGTGAATGAAAGCGGTGCGGAATGATCGTCGGTTTCACTGCATTGTTATACATTTATACGATGTATTATAATAATATTATATTGTTCTTTTTTGGGTACATGTATTAACAACAATCGTCAGAGGAGTAGTTCTATGAGAATTATATACCTATTTACAAACATGCGTGAAAGACTCGTTAGGCATCGAACAAAACCGCTGATAGATGAGATAACGTTGATTATGCATATTATATTGACGATATTATTAGGTATTATTAGTATGCGATGAAGTTGTCTTGAAAGCGAACATGAAAAAGTTATTGTTGTTCTTTAGATATAAAATAATTGTAGCACGACAATATTAATCGTAAATAATAAATACATTTAACGACATTTTCACTTGATCGTTATCAGATTTAAAGTATGTTTTATTGTCTTAATGGTGTGTACAATAATTATTTATGTAAACGATAAATGAATTGTTTTTTTACTTGTTATTTTCATTCATTTAAATATCGTATTATAAGGGAAATATATTATCTGATTAAGTCATATAAACTGTATACCTACATGCCGTAGTGTGATATCTATCATATCTTTTGTCACTCCGAAAACTAAAGGTCACAAAGAGCTGAAGTATATTAATTGTGGCGTCATGAACTTGTTGAGCCACAGGGGCGCATATTAATCAAAATCATCCAACAACCAACTCATATTTTCTAAACAGTATTTACTTTCGAAAATGCATGTTAAATTCTTTTAAAATAGTATGCATAATTTAGTTTATAATTAGGACTTGGATTAATATGCTCTAAAAACCTCAGAAATATGAACTATAAAATATGCATTTATGTTCTTATTTTGTAGAAATATACCCTATAAAATAAAAAATATGCAAAAAAATCGATTAAAAAAAAGTCTTTTATTTTCATTAAGTATAAATAAATAAAATCGAATGAAAGTTACACGCTCTCAGATCACGACAAATACGACTAATGTATGATTCACTGAAACCTACTTAACAAAAAATGACTACTTGTTTCGATAAGTCTCAGATAAGTTAGAAAACGACTAGGCCAAATTATATGGACAATAAATACGTATAACTATAAATATGTTATTTTAATTAAAATAAAAAATTATATTTTATGTATTTAAAAACCGTTAATATGCAATAAAAAATCGTAAAATACAGAAATATGCAGTATATGTCAAAAAATGACAAAATATGCAAAAACATACTAAATAAAACTTTAGATTTTGGATCTATTTATCACAGATTAAACTTAAAACTTACCTAGCTAGTTTTTGGTCTGTTCAGAAAAAATATGCAAACGCATATAAATCCGGGCCCTATTTATAACTATGTTAATATTATTAAATCTTATCTCGTGGAATAAACATAGTATTTAGTAAAATTAATTCACCCACAACCATCAACCCACCCACTCCAAAAATTAAAAGGGCCATTGCCTTATAAAAGTTTCCTCGTGACGTCACTGATAAATTATCATAATATTATAAAAATATAATATACCTAATTATTAATTATTAAATATTAATATTTTTTATGTTATGATTTTTGATATAGAATATGAATTTTTGAAGCGTACGGGTATAGAAAAAGTAAATAAAAGTAAATAAATAAATTCACTATGAACAATTAATTCGACCGTTATTACCCAACTAATGTATAAGACAAGTAATTAATATATTTTTTAATAGTTTTCTCAAATTTAAATAATTCATACATTTATATTATATAATACAAGTAGTAACGTTCCAACTAATCATTCATATCTATCATGTTTTCATATTTTAATAATTTAATTAACTTATAAATTTTATAATTATTGGAATAATTTAATTAGAATTACTATAAATATTTTTACAAAACGGATTTATTAGGTTTATTTAGATTTAAATAGAATTATCCGTATGTATTTGCAAAATTACGAACCATTTTATTTTTCAATTACACTATTATATTTTAAGTAGGTACAGCAGTATTCAATATTGACTATATTTCTATATCGACTGTATAGTTTAATAAATAAACAGAGATAATAGTTTTTAATTTATAAAATATTAAATTCAAATAATGTTGATAGTATAATTTAAAAACGTTTCATATAATTACGTGATTTATAAACGAAAGAAAAGAATATAATAAAAATATTAAAAATAACTATTTAAAACAATATTTTTTAACAAGAAAAAAATAATAATACACAAACCAACATAAACAAAATAATTATTTAAATGTCAAAAAGTAAAAATAATAATATTAATAGGTACTAAAAAATCAATTACCAATAATTATTTAAGTACCTATATTTTGTCGATAAAATGGTATGTAATGTATAGTTAGTAAACTCAATCCAGTTCAAACTGATAATATATTTGATAAATAATGTGAAAAAAGTCAAGTTGAATTGTAAAATTAATTTAATCTTTAATTTTAGCTAAGTATTTTTGAAACAGTATTTTGAAATACACATTAATGGTTATTTTTCATAAATTTTAATAAAATAAAAATTACAACATGATAGTTAGAATCACTTTATTTGATGTCTTCTGGGTAATGTTGATTATTGGAAATGATTCTTAAAATTTAATAACATATTATTCATTGCTGTGTATAATTTTCAATATAGGTCATAAGCATGTCTATGAAATTTTATACTTTTATAAAGTATCTACTTTTTCAAACTTCTATTGTAACAATTTAGTAGTTACATATACAATAGGTACAATTTTAATACAATGTATAGTGTCTATGGCGAAGGTACCATCAAAAATAAAAATCTCAATCAAATTTTGTATTAAAATGTGGTTTTGTAATTTTATTGTTTTAAAATGAGTCATTAGAATAACATAAATTAATTTTTATAGTTTTATAAAATCAACGATGTCATTGAATTTATACCATGGTAATATTATTTTTATTATATTGTATTCTATACTCTACGTCTCTATATTACACAACGGCCTTTAACAGTGGGAAATTAGGTTATGGTAATTTTTAAATTATAAACACTGTTCAGTATTTGTCGACGAATTCGTTCGCTTTTCGGTGTTAATATAATAATAATATAAATTGGTATACATTCCGATAAAAACGCGAACGAAGGACACACGTTATTATTATTATAGATAGGTAGTTGTCACTTTCTCGCGCATCATGTGTTGTCATCCGGTGTGATTTTCATAGAAATGCCGCCAATGTGTGAAATTAGTGTATTTTTTTAATTTCACCATTCAATAGGTGTCCCATTAAACGTGACTGTCAATACTGATTGATAAATGAGGAGACCTTGTTTTATTTTTTCATTTTGGGAATACGTTTTTCTCTCTTTTGTTTGCCAATAACGCTCACCCACGCCACCGTACGAAACGCTGAATATATTAAATTTTCGACCCCATCGCACAGTAAAACTCATCACAAACGATTTAATACGATCATATTATTATGTGATTATTATGGCGCACTATTACTATAATCATATTGTAGTTAAATATTAAATTGTATATATCGTCGCAGAACTTACGAATAGTTATGATTGTTGGTGAACAACGATTTTGGACATTCCTTAAAGTAAGGGTAACATTCTTTGCTGTGTTTGCCAACAGTTTCGGCAGTCACGTAGTCCTTCATTAAATCAGCGTACGTCGATCTACTAGCCCTGCAAAATAATTAAAGAAATTTATCATTATTATGATTATTAGACATAATTTTCTGTTGTATCAACATTTTTCAATTATCGTTCAGTTCTACCTAGTGCATTTCTATATATTACGGGATGACCTAGATTTTCAATGATTTGAATGGGGAGAAAAAATATATTATAATATACATACATTGGGGATCGTTTAAATTTTGTGTTACCGATTTGGACGGGAATCACAGCCACACATTACAATATAGTTTATTATCGGTTGTATAGCAGTATTTTACATTTATACGCGACGTAATAGAAATAATTCTAATTAGATTTCATTGATATATTGTATACTATATTTAAAGGTATAGCAAGCTATTGACGTTATTGTGCAATACAGAAAGGTCTTATAAAACAGTATTGTGATTGGTCGGAAATACGATAAACGACGATGAGGATCGTTTATAGTTTGTGACGATAGCTTGACCGGGTCGAAACACTATTAAAACGGTGTGCTCTGTGAATTCCTGCGAAATCACGCGGTACGTCATTTGATTACCATGCTTATATATATACAACGTATTTAATATATAAATTATACATTATATATATTCGCAAATTAATTATTCCACCGCTATAATATTATTATAATAATAACATTAAAGTTCTGAGCAAAATCAGTCTCAGTATACAAGAAATCGGCTTATGCATAGTGCATAATATATAGTATATACAGTATACACGTAAATTATATCAATAATATAATATATAGAGTAATTCATTAAGCATGCTCACTTCTTTAATTTTTTCAACGATGAATTTATTCAAAATCTGATTTTTAAATATATTTAAGACTATGTTTTCAAATTCTCGAGATTTTTTGTACCTATTAGGCACTTAATGTGTCTTACAGATACCTCAGGGAGATGAAAAGTTTCATTTTTTGAATAAAAACGTGCCTTAAAAATAATATATTAATTAGTCAATAATTTTTCTGAAAACGTTTGAGTATCAAAATGAAAATTCAAACGAGTATTATTTGAGTCATTTAATTTTATGTACTTGAAATAATAGGTCCAAAATAATGGGTTTGAAAGATATGAAAACTATGTTAATTTAACATTTTTAATAATTTATATGTCAGCAAATATAATTTATAAAAATGGTTCAAGTACAATAAATAATAGATTCGATACAATATTTTTGCAAAATGATTTTTAAAATTTTTTAACCTAAATGTAAACATTTAAATAACTGAAAAACTATTTGTTCAAATTTTGGATTAAGTATATATACATCAAAATTAAAAAAAAATAATCCAATAAATAATTTGGAGTGAAAAAGAGTGGTTATAATTTGAAAAATAAAATTTTGTATTTTCACAGCACATTCTTAAGCGGTACCTACTAAGAATATCTAATTTTTAAAATACGGTGTTTAAGTATATTTAAAAATTCTAAAAATCAAAACTTGAATAAATTCATTAGGCACTAAACTAAAAATGAGGGTGTGCATGCTTAAAAAAGCATTATGCGCGAGTATATAAAGTATTACAATATTTTGCTCGTTCATGATATAGTTATTTCGTAGAATAATATTCGGTTCCTCTACATTCGATGTAAGTATCCAAACAAATATTATTGTCAAAAATTATGACATAAGTATAAAAAATAATTAATACTATTAGTCGTATCGTTGATATATTACGAGTATAATATTATTTATCTTTGCTTGTGGGTATTGGGTCAAAAATATTGAATTTTCCCGTAGGTTCAGAATAATGAACTAATTTTTTAATTAAAAACATTAAAACTATGGAGTAGCTAATTATTTTGTGTTAAAGTTATAAAAAAAATCCTTTAGTCTACTTGTCTTGCCAGTAGGAAGAGGGAGGGAGGTTTATCCTACAAATAATTTTATGTGTACGTCCCCGGATACATAACTAATAGATTCTATTACATAAATGTATAATTTAGTGTAATACATTTTGTAAATTGTAGATAGTTATGCGCAGATGCTTATGTACCATTTGTTACAATGGGGCGTTTTTGAGAAAGATATCGGTTTTTTTCTAACGAGTGTTGTTCATAAGGACGGTAATATATTTTTTGATATTTTAAACGTATTCTCTTATTATTTCAACCGCATCCACCGCAACAGGTGTTCAAAACTCATATTAAATCTATTAACAAAAACTTTTTTTTATTCCGATCGATTACACTGTTAACTCGATCTGTCAAACTTGTTGGAATAATACGTGTATAAAATGTATTAACAAAAACATACGATATAACTTAGTGATTTCCAATCGTATAAAAAAATCTGTAGGACAACCTTTCATTTCTTCTATTTAAATTTTTTCTGTGTATTATAATGTCTATAATATGCCTAGATGGTTTTTAATTATGTTAATTTTTTAGGTCGATACCGACACGGGCGTCTCGTAGACTGATTTTCACATATTTAACCGAGCGTAGGTACAACAGGATTAAACAAATCCAGTATGGATATTAATATAATATATCTTCTACTTACATTCCTACTCAAAAATATTTTCAAATTATATATTTCTTCGGACAAACAAACGGTACCTATTTTATAAGATTTCTGCTTTTAAATATTAGAATTTTATAATAATTAATAATATTAAAATTAAAAAAAATAAATATATTTATCATATTATATTATGATTTGGTTTTTAGTCTACATTATAATGTGTTAACATAAAAAAAATATTAAATCATGCAAAATCAAATTTATATTTTTTTAATTACTAATATTATTATTTATTATTATTTTTTTTATATTTTATATACTTAAATAACGGCGATCTATTTATATTTAAAATGTTTTTCTGTTTGCCTATTTTTTACACACATTGTTTTTCTGTTTAAATTTTGGGGTTTTTTATACATTAAACAGTACTTATTAATGCAGCGTAATATTATTATTGGCTAAGTATATATTATTAAATTTGAATATTCTCGACCGCTTGATATACTAGGAAATACATCAATAGTTTTCTGTAATTTATTTTCCTAATAAAATATAATATTTGACACACTTTCACTATAGTTATCTCATATTTACATGTCGTGTTTGTGATAGGCATCTCCCATACATTAATTATATTATATTACCAGTAGTTTATACCCAGTTTATTCGTCTAGCTATGTATGCACACAAATGACATTTCCGGTTTGGCACATGGCGCAGAATGCATAGCGATTGAGAAATACGGTTATTAAAAAAAAAAAACTTGGCTTACATTTAATGCAATGACCCAATGACTTCTCTTGTACAAAATCGTATCCCCCTTACTTAATGGTCTGTGTTTTTTTTTTTTACGTTTAGTTGAAAAGTTGTTTTTCTCAAAACACGTAAACAGCTTTGGTCATTCGTATTCTTATACGAAAAATTATGGACGATTTTGATATTATAACACTCAACGATAAATAATTTAAATAATAAAGTATCTTATATATATATCAGGGATGGACAATCGATCAGACAAAAATATTTTCATTTCAATATTTAATAGAACCAAAAAAAAAAAAAATAGTGAACAAATTTATTATCATTTCTAAAAAAATAATGTTCCAAATTATAAAAGTTTGGGATTTTCCGTTTTAGACATAATATTATTTACTTTAAAAAAAGTGTTTTATTCCAAATAATCTCAATATTTTCATCAAAATACAATACATTATTTTCCATAGTGAATTATACATTGATGGAAGAAGCTAATGTTGCTTGTGTTTCAATAAAACGTAATAATACATTTTAAACATTTATTTTTAAAATTTTAACATAAATATTTAAAAATTGTAACACTTTGTTTTTAAATTTCTATCTCGTTGAGAAAAAATAACGTTCGTAGTTACATACGAGCAGATTACTAGAACGTGAATTTTTTTTTAAATTTTGATTACAATATTTTGGTATTGACTCAATAAAGGTTTTTTACTCCTTGTGCATCTTACTATTGTCTATAGTATAAGCATATAAGACTGTGAAAGGAAACCATTACAAAAGTTCAACATACAAAGTTTTGTCTGACGACAGAGAGCAAATCGTAAATAATATTTTAAAAAGTGATTCTCATCTTCCTTTGTAAACTTTTTTTAAACTATAATATTATTCAAGTATTTTGGCTACTTTCCACACGTAGTGTCGTAAAAATACGACCTCTGATAAATCGCAAGGGTTCGTAGGTTCATGTTTTTAATACTATAAACGTTGTGCATAAGTATACATATTACACATAATACTTATATTAAATATTGTTGATATACGTATATCGTAGTTGAAGCACTTACGTGAGGAACAGCTGAAGAAATTCGCCGATGAAACCAAATTTATGTATGGACTTGTGTCCGTGAACTTCACATATGGCTCGGAGAAGACATGCTTTGCCGTCCATCCCGAAGTTCGTCAACAGGTCCTCGACGACGGTGAACAGTAGAGCTCTGAAAAGACATATTGGTATACTATACATCGTGAAGAGTAATACAATATTATAAAAGAAGTCTTACTACGATCTTTTTTTTTGGAATTTGTTAACGTCATGATGACACGTATTTTATTAAAAAATATTTTACATTTGTGTTCATTGCTTAATCATAATACTTATTTAAATTCTCAACGAAAATTGCTATGACTATTATCGCTAAGTTCTACTAACGAGGAAAAATAAAATACCAACGACTACGTTACTCAGTTTTTATAAATACACACACGTCATCGTCATAATAATAATTATCGTACGCTCTGGTATAATATGTTATTATAATGTTATGGTTATTATTTATTTCCAACGAAGCGCCAAGACTAGAAAAGGCTTGGGTGATTCCATTTTCTATTGACCGCTCCTCTTTTATCACATCACGGACTTCCCTAACTCCCTTTATCTATTTTCATTGGTCAACAGTAAACGGGTCTTGTTGTTTTACTTTCATAACTATTTCATTGTTGTAGGCTGCCAAAACCTGTCTTCTCGGTTCACGTGAACTTGGACCAAGCTGGTTGCTCGCGGAACCGCCACTACAACGATTTCTGGTCGGAATATTAATACGGCAATTATTCATTATAACAGATACGATCTATAAATATATACATATAATAATTTATGCATGCATATGATATATGTAATGTCGGTCAAATAAAACGTAATCTGCCGCATTATATACGATCGTGAGAAACGCTGATGAAATGTGCACTGTGGCGAAAAAAATCGATCCTCAAATTTGTTTCATCCTGGATATATTTAGTGACAATTTTATGGTATGAATGTACATATCACGCAAGTCTTATAAAATATTTGTCTCTCTTCTTATTAATTTTTTTAAATTAAATAATTTATATTTTTCATTTAATAAAACTAAATATAATATTACTAAATTGAAAAAGAATTTATGAATAGTTTTCATCATTTTTGTCCAAATCACTTTTATTTTTAACAATGTTAATTATTGCTTCAACATCAATGTTATTACTTAAAAGTAGGAATGCCTCTAATTATTAATTATAATAAATAACTGTCTGCTCCCCGTGGATCACGAAGAAAACTTCTAATATCCCGCCGGCATATTCCGCTTCTGGGTGTGGATATATTATAATACCACGTCAGTTATTATCGAAAAATACATTTTATTAAGCATAGCATAGTATTAAAATATATAATACGTATTTAAATACATCATTTAATATAAGTATTTAATTTAAGTATTATGATGTACTAAGATTAAATATAAATGAATAATATAGGGATCACAATGCTGAGTCGACAACCAGTTTGCTGTCTAGATATTGGGTTGACGGATGTTATAATTACTGATCTGGTTTAATATTTTTTATCTTTTTTTCTCAAATAATTGCTTTGATAGATATCGATATTATTTAAAAAATATTTATATATAATATATATACCTATGTAATATCGCAGTAATAATACCCGCCGACAGCTATAGCTCATTATTGGTTGTCGGTTAATTAGCCATTTACTCATCGTCCCAGTCTTCATAAAATATTATTTGGGTTAGACCTATATAAATATAGGTTTCTAGGATTATGGCATAGATTTATTTTATTACTAATATTGTAGTGATCATTAGCTATATCAAACGTTCTTTATTGACAAATTATATTATGCTATTATATTATTTTATCTTCATAATTTTTTCTAACGTTTGAAAAAGATAAAATTATAAATATTAAAACTATATATTTATAAAAATAAAAAAACTCATATTTTTCGAATTTCATTTTTTGTAAATATGCTTATGCTATAGTAATGATATGCAGAAGCTAAAGGTATGTCATAACATGAATCGTACGATAAAATTTAATTTACGACAAATGACACTTGTATATGATACATGAAAAAATATAGATAAAGTGTTCCATAGTAAGGAAAGAAAAATAAATTCTATGTCATAGTAATACTGGGAAAGCTAAAAGAAAAAAATCAGAAAATTAAAGTTTGAAACTCTTATTTTAGAGGTTCAAAAACGATAAAAACATCATTATTAATATTATCAAGTATTTATGTATATTAAATTTGTAGATAAAATTGTTTAATATCCCTAAATATCTCAAAACGCAATTACTCAAAATAGTTCTTAAATTATGTAAACATAATGTTATTGGATTTTATTATTTGTTTAAAAGTTTAAAGTATTTGATTTATTGTTCAGAAGTATGGAATTATATTAGATGTATGTATTTGTATTACATATATAACACATCTATTACCTACCTAACGAAACAATGTAAACAGCTACTTTTATATCTTATAAAGTTAATAATAGGCTCTATATTTGTTTACAACTGAAGCGTTTAATCAAAGTTTCAAAGTATTATAAACTATAATATTTATACTAAGATAATCGTTATTATTCTAGACATGCTCCTATTTGAGATTTAATATTAATTATTAGACATACATAATTTTTATCTTTTAACAATTTATTAAAAAGTTTCAACATTTTTTTTTTTTGTGTAAACATTTTTATTCATTAATACGAGTTAAAAAGATTAATGTTATATTTAACCTCATAAATAATTTAGTCGTATTTATTTTTATAACTATGTAAGTTGCTTGATTTTAAGGGTTGATGCGCATATTCCGTTGCGATTAACTGATGCTATTTGAATGTAAATTACAACAATTGATAAGAAATTGTGTACTGGTGCAAATACGGCTGTTAACAGATTTAACATAAATCTAAAAATCTTGTGTTTTACGGAATATAGTTGATAATTGCATTTGTGAGACATAATCAAGTTAGTGGTGTATATTCGCTATTTTTCAAGTTAAATTTACAAGCCATGCTTTAAGTTTAGATAACAATAAATATAATTTGTAAAATTCAAGTGTAGTATTTTTGGTTTAAAATTTAAATTAATAAAACATATTGAAATTAGGAAATTTATTATAAGTATACATTTAGACAAAGTTATTTGTAAACAATATAGGTATGTTTTAATGATTTTTTTTTTATTGATAGAAAAGGCACATTCAATATTATATGTATATTTCATTTTTAATATTAATTTAATGTCATCAATATTATTTAATTATTTAAATGTAATACAATACACCTATAAATTGTTTAATTTCGGTACACAAAGCTAAAAAAGTATACTAATATTGTAAATAATATATAAACGAAAATTATTAACTATATAAAAAAATAACGGTAGATATTTTGAATAAAGTTTTGTTTATTTTATTTATTTTAAATTAAAAATTTATTTAGGAATATAGAATAAAAAAAATATGATATGAAACTGTTTATTTGTTTGTTAAAGTTATTCTCGCGAAAAGATTTATGTTTAACCAAAATCAATATAATAATATTGCTGTATGCTAAAATAAAATATTATTTATTCGTAACTTAATAACATATCTGCTTGTATTTAATGTTACTCATAAGCAATAGTATGATAATAAACATTATTTTTTAGATAGGTAGTCGAGAAATAATGTTTAAATTATTGTAATAATTTATGAGTTACGAACACGTGAATAAAACAGGAATATAAACATGTCAACTTATTATGATTAGAGTTAGTTACAGCATTCTTTTAAGTTATCCAAAGGATATTTCTATGTTTTTTTATGTATGGTTTACCTTTCACCTCCTTGGAAGTACGAGTGTATTGGTTTGGGTAACGTTGGAACAGATCTAGTCGATCTCCGGCCGTCCATAAGTTGAGACACATAGTCGGCAAGTACTGAGCCCATCTGCCTGCCCATGCTTCTGGCTAATATCGGCGGGAAGGCGCCAAACGGATTCTGATTATCAGTCAGCCCCAAGCCATCGAAGTCAACTAAGCAACATTAAAAAACAAAACGCGTAAATAAATATTACATTAATTGCAATTAATACAAATCGAGTTCTCGTATTCATAAGGAATTTAACTATATCAGTTACCTATTTATTATTATTGTACGACTAGGCGTACATGATGTGGAGCAATAAAAATACATTTTGTTTTTTATGAATCGTAAAATATGTCATCGCTCTAAATATTACGATTATTCCAATCAAAGAATTTTCACTAACTTTTAAAAGTTTTTAAACGTCTGTAACGGTTGATGTCTTAAATTGTCGGTTGGTTTATTATAGTTATAGTTATTAAGTGCGTACATTCGGGTGATAACAGCGATAAAAATACTTAATATAATATTGACCTAAAAAATATAGCATGTGTACTATAGTGAGTGTAAAAAGATTTTATTAGTCACCTAATGCACCTAAATATTTATTGCAATGTAGTCTCATCGACCCACCAAATCAAGTCAAAACGTAAATACACGAAAGTCATTATATTGTACCCGTTTAATTGCCATTACTTTTGTAGGCAATAATAATTCAAGACCGTAAAAAGTAAAAACCAATTTTTGATGTAAGCAGTAACTGGTCTCAGATTATTATCGTTAATCTAAAAACGTGTAAATTGTAAACTCTGTTCGGCTTAATTAGGAAAAAAACATAAGACAATATATTGTGTGACTATCGAATACCTATCATTAGTCGTGTGGTATAATGTATGATACAACTATAGAAGTGGTCACATGTTTTATATTATATTATGAAGGGAAGATAGTATTGAATCTAACACGGTTTTGGTTTTATTTTTTGTAATATCAGAAAGATATTTTTTTTTTTTTGTAAAAGAAAAAGAATTCAAAATATTTTAAGTATAAAACGATGTAATTATCTACCTATATAATCTATTTATATATACAGTTTGAAAAATATTATCTGGGTGTTATCAATATGAATAATCAAATAGTTCAAGTGCATTCATATATAAAAAAATCACACGCTGACTGACTAACGTTGTGGTGAGCACATAATGTTATTATATATTATTCAAATAAAACATTTCATAATTTATATTATCTCTACGACATTAGATTTTTTTAATGCTTTGTGAATAATTAGATATAAAATTTTCAAATTGTGCATAAATATTCTTTAAAGGAGATGTAAGCATTTCTAAAGTAGTTTTTATCCACATTACCTACATATTTCTATGTTAGTATTTATTATAAAAAAAACACTTGTAATTCACAGTAAATACAAGCACTCATCAGTATAACATTTTTAGTACGTCTATTATACTATATGTTGGCAATTTGGCATCCATGTAATTTGGATTAATAATGCTGGATTGTGCACATATATTAAATAAATCTGTTTTTTAATCTCAATCAGTCAGAAGTTAGTACTAATAATTATAATAAGTATACTTAATCGGACAAAAGTAGTACATTTTTTTTTTTTTGTCCAGTCAATAAAAAGACTTTATTTGAGTATTACGATAATTGTTATACATAATACCAGGTCAGTGGAAATGGTAAATAAATTTTAGAAATTGAACAAGCTCAACGAAAGTTAAATATCATAGCTTTAAACTTAATATGCACGGTGCGCTTAACTTGGTATCTCTACCCTAAAAACAAGCGTTAAAAACTAAATTCTAGATTTCATCTGTTAAAATCACTTCTTCTTTCTAACCTAACCTTACCTATCAAAATTATTCTGTATACAATTTTTCTTCAAGTACTGTTAGCGTATAGTATTTTAATTTGATTTTCTGATAACTTAAATAAAATAACTATATACAAGCCTTCTAAAATATCTATCTGGGTTTACTGGAGCATCCTGGCTCGTCTCAAATTCCGACTTCAAATTACTTCCTATCAACGAAGTTGCTGCTCTTTATATAAATGTTTTTACGCCAAACTATAAGGTAATCCCAAATAACAGATTAGCAAGTCAGCATCCCTTACAGTTCCCGGTAACCAAATTAGTCGCTTTAAAAGGAACTGATGTCGCGATTTTATTACTTAAAGATTAAGTGCTTAATATTAAGAGGTGTCATAAATGTGTGATTTCCTCCTCACGTGTCTACCAACTCATTTAACTATTACTGCCAGTTAACAATAAATATTACTTATTGAACAAGCTGTATAGATTGTAATTTTTCAAAAAAAGGCCAATTAAAAAAAAAATTAAATTGAACTAATGCAATCGAAAAATAAAATAATTACCGTTATGGAAAAAGTTAAAAGAATACTGGGAAAAATATGATTTTCTGTTTGCATTTTAAAAGAGTAAATTTTACACATTTTGTATACGAATTCTTAAATTCCTTTGTTTTTTAATTGGATATTGTGTACTGTAAACATGACTAATGATTTTTCCTTATTACGTTTAATTATTTATAATAATATACTCATTATGACGAGAAATATAGAAAAAATGTAAATAAAACGATGTACTATCACTACTATCTATATAATGTGATACGTGTACGATCAGTAATAGTACGACACATACGTGGTATGTAATTTGCACAAAAAATGATAAAAAGAAAACTTTGATATACATTATGTAATGTGCACTACGTCCAAAAAAAAAAAGGTAATTTTCATCACAACTGATGACAGATTATAATACTTTTGTAATTATTTGTTCCAGATTAAATTTTAAAAGATATTATCAAAATTATGGATTCGTAAATTTTTTATTTAATTTTAATTTATTTAAAACACAAAGATTAAGTTCATAGTAATTCATTGAAAAAATGAGAATAATAAGTGAAATAATAATGATTTTATATAATAAATGTTATCTTTCTATTACTATTGATTATTAAAATAGTAAAGTTTATTATATACGAATTGTATTATTTTCTTTTTTGACTAATTTCATAAATATTAAGATATTATAGTAGTATTAGAATAAATTATTGTTGAATTTACAATTTTGCATAAAAATTTATAAATTTTATTACCCGACATTTACTAGATAATCTACAACACCGTAATTTTAAATAGTTGATGCTATAATTACCGTTTTGGCGCAATTAAAATTTAACAAATTACCATTTCAGAAGGTAAAAAATAAATTTATCAAAATGTACCTACTTAATCTGTAGGTATGGCGTAAATTATACTTGTCCCAATTATTTTATATGACGTTGTCGCATTTATCGTGCTTATTGCGTAGAATTAAAACAAAAAGACTGATCATAACACTATTAATATTTTAAAATATTCTAGTTATGTGTAGTGTTTATAGGCGGATTTAGGGTCGATAGTATGCGAATTTAGTATATCGCCAACAGGATTTTCAGTTCGGTGATTCAATTTTAATAATAATAAGACGATTTCTACGTAGTTGAGTATTATACTTAAAATTAGAATTTTAATTTAATTTATGTAGGGTTGTATAATATAAAGATAAATAAATATATCGATGGATGAAAATCGTTACACTGACTTGTGAAAGGCAAACTGATGCTCATGTTGGACAGGAACCCGTCTGGCGGATACCTGACGAACGGCAGGGACAGCGATGGGGTAATCGTTAGCCTGGTGCCGGGCGGCAGGGCCAAGCGGCCATCCGTAGTGATCCACAGCAGACGCTTCTGTCGCGAATGAGGCGTGTCCTCCTTAGGCTCGCCATTATTATTGTTGTTGTCATCTGCGCCGGTGACATTGTTCTCAAACCACATCAACAGTAACAACGCGGTCCACAGAGACGATTTCCCAAAGTATATCATTCCTAAAACAAAAATGAAAACATGTATAAAAAATGACAATAACCATTATATATTTCGAGACGATCTAGACTCTAGACCAAGGATGGAGGGTCTTTAATCCGCAGTTCACGAATACATTTTGAGTGTAGCTTGTATTTTTTACGATGTAACTTGCGAGATTTTTTATAAACTTTAAGTTTTAAATGCTAGATGTATAAACTCTATACATTTGTGTATCTGTTTAACCAACTTAAATTAATTTAAACGCATGATTAATCAAGGAGTAATTAATTTTGAAATTCAACCATTGTTAATAATTGACAAGGATAGATTGGATTGAGGTGAGTCTAAGAAAACTAATAATTCGATAGTGTGTGCTGTAGCAGTGAACGTCAATGGCACACGTTTAAGATAAATTATATTATAATATAATATGTATATATATATATAATATGAATGGTACACGAAAATCCTTGCAGCAACATACGAAACGACGTGAAAATGAAAAACACAAATTCACGTGTGTTTTATTGTTCAAAATTTTACTCTATAATCAACACCGTGCTTATTGTTCGATGTATATAATATGGTGTACCTATTTAAATAAATTCGGACGAAATATAATATTTAAGTTACCTACTTTGTTTTCTTACACCTTAATTTATTAAACATAGATGTACCATACTATTACTAGCTTATTATTTTGTCATTAAAAATATGTATTAATTAAAAAAATAATAATTATGTTTAAATTGACAGTGTTTTAGTTTGACCAATATTTCCGTTTTTGATTCATCTCAAACTTTTGGCAGTATACCTACTTTGCAAAGCTCTTGAACGTGGCGAATCAGTATTTAATAAATGTAATGCTACAGTAATGGCTTATAGAACATATTTTTAACGGTAAATTCTCAACTTGTATTGAATACCTACATATTATTCTTATTACTTAAATTTAAATGTTGTGATATCTATATCTATATAATATATATATATTTGTTTTGAAATGATAAATATGCAATTCATAGTTGCCTATTAATTAAAATAAATTACGTTCCAGAATAATATTTAATCAATGAAAAATATTGTGTTTCGTTTTAAATTACCATTATACAATTCATAGTTTTGTAAATAATTATCAAGTTTATTTTAAAATCTAAGACATATACTTATAACCTAATGACCAGAATATCCATAAATATAATGTATAAAATATTTAAGACATAAATATGATTTGAAATGACTTTGTAAATTCATTAAATTATATTGAGAGTTGCATTTTATAATATCATGATAATTAAAAATATAATATGTATAAGTACTATGTCTGCATTTGCATATTTATATATGTTACTTGTCACTATAACTGGTTTTGAATTATTTCTAGTGATTTTCAACATATTATGTATTTTATATATCTCTAGTAAATAAATTATTTATTCTAAATGTAATATATTTCCATAATAAATATGCTGTCTAAAATAAATAATGTTGTTTTACCGTTACAGCAGCTAAACTATGTATGGGTAATATCATCTTCAAAATTCTCAAAAATCAAAATGGAGTTATAAAGTTGACATTTTTATAGACACAATATCTAGTTTATTATCCAGATCAGATTTTGTATATTTTCTCCGGTAACTTTATAACCTGAATTTAAAATATATACTACATTAGGCATAGGCATTATATATGGTAAGTATAATAAGTATGAGTATTTTTTTATACCATATAGTAAACTCAAAACTGGAAAATCATAAATCTTTTACTATTCTAATTTTTGTGTGAGATGTTTTTTTTTTTTTAGGCCTCGGAGAAAGTTAATAAATTAAAAATACTCAATCTAATCGAGAATAATAATAAAAATAAACTACATTCTTTCAAAGATTTCATCGTGGAAATAAAAAATTTTGTTAACTCTGATAATATTTTAATCTTCAGGCAACCGACGGCTGCGGTAGTCCTCCTGCAATGGGTTCAAAATTAAAACGTTAAACGTTAATTACGGGCCTTGGTTTAGGGTGCACGGTGTATATGGGCGAGACACGTTTGCGATGTAAATCAAAACGTTTTGTACATGTATACTTACAGCACATTTGGGAACAATACACACATAATACAGGTATACAGGTACAGACATCACGTTTGGCCGTTTGTATATAGACCGAGTCACCGCGGTCACCGCAGAGGCTATCTGTGTACGGTAACCGTGATTACGAATACATAATATTATAATACGTGACTATTTAATTACATATTATTATTACCTAAACCCACACGTGTGTAAACCATTGTAGTGTAAGAATAGTGGGCTCTGCCTCCAAAGACATTACATTCTGTTCGTATACGCACGAATAATAATCGTAGGTATACATCCCTCGGTTTAATACGTATGTCGTTTATAAAGCAAAACGAACAGTAGGGTAGTCGTTTGAAATATTAAAAACATTAAAGCGATGTGGGAATTCTTCGCGATAGGAGCAAAAAAGAAAAAACAATTAAGATTGAACATTTTCTGGCAGCAATCCGTTTGTTTGAATACATTTTAGTACCTACTTACTTATAGTATTGTGTAGTCTGATGATATCGAAGTATTGTAACAGTCTGTTTGATAAAATCAAAATCGAGTTTACTAGTAAAAACAGTATTATTATACGCAATTCCTAAATTCGTGCACGAAAAACACATAACGTTTTTATCTCGGCCAATTATCGGGACTTAGGTACGTGAACGTGTGGGTGTGTAGTTATTGATGAACGTTATGGCAAGGTTAGATAATATTATATTATTATTGTTTTTTGAATGGAGTATGTTAAAAGAAAAAAAAATAAATCGCTTTAAAAATGATAATAACGACGATGTAACGAAAAATTATTGACACATATTATTATATTGTACACATTAGTTTCTAAGGATTTCGAAAGCAATATTAAATCTAATCCAGTGAAAACAACTCTATATAAGTTGTAAAATTGTAAAATACATTTTTAAGCAACTTGCCGAGCAAAAGATCATCTAGTTGGCCTCTCTACCGATACATCATGTAGGCTGTAATACGTATTACGATGAAAAACAGTACGGTATACACGAATACGTTTGAAACGAATTTCTACGAAGAAAAAAAAAGGTAAAGTTTTTTTAAAATTCTTTTCGTCATCAGAAGTATTTTTTTCCAAACGTTTCGTGCATCGCACATAACATGAATAATGTCGTTATATACTTTGGGTATATGATATGTCGGCTATATCGATTTTCTAACACTGCGACGGGACGCGTCGTTCCTTCCCAAGGGATACGGTGATCGCTGTCGTACTGTCGGTATAACGTGTAATATACGAGTATATTATAGATCTCCTTGTCTGTGGCGTGACTTTTGCAATATTTTGGCCCGTGACCGAAATCAGTAGACTCAATTTATGGGCATGTGACGGGCAGGTTGAATATTATACGGGAAATTGTTGCGATTTTTCAATAATGCTTTTGGACACCTAAGTGTTTTCAGTAACTGTGTTGAGCTTTTCGGACCCTATGTACGAGTACTAACGTCTTTAGTTAATATTACAATTTTATTATACCCATCTTAATATACGTTAATATCGTTTAATATCAGTACTTCATTATTATGTATGAAGGATGATTTACTAAACATTTATATCCTTGGCTTTTTTTATTTATTAATGAATTTATTCAAATCCTAATTTTAGGAATTTTTAAATATATTAATAAAAATTGTATTTTAAAATATTTGAGATTTTTCGTACTATTTGAGAGCCGTGGTAATATAAACTTCTATTTTTCAAATTATAATCTCCATTTTCTGCTGTAAATTATTTAATAAAATGATAATAATAATAGTAAAAATAACATTATAATTATATAATTGTATACTTTTTAAAAATGTTAATGTGTCTACTTAATTCAAAAATTCGAATTATTTTGGTTATTAAAATGTTTATGCATAAAATAAAAGCTCTTAAGAATAATATGAATAATATATATAAATATATATGTATATTATAAAATATACATAATATCTGAACTAGTCGACCATTTTATAAATTATAAATATTAATACACTTATTTATAATAATTACTAACATTTTCAAATTACTTTTGCCATCATATCTTTTGAATTCATTATCATGTACTAATTACCCTTAATACAAGTTAAATAACTCAAAAACTACTTGTTCAAATTTTGATCTTATAACGTCAAAATTTTCCAATAAATAATTTATAGTAGAAAAGAGAAGTTGACATTTGATAAACAGAATTATGTATCTCTACAGAAATTTTAGGTATGGTCGATAAGTATACTTAAAAATTTTAAAAATCAGATTTTGAATAATAGCGTTATCGAAAAAGGAAACGGGGGTGAGCATGCTTAGTGAATCACTGTGTATAATAAATTTAACATTTTAGTCACATAATTATATAAATAGTTTATTAATAATAACATTGTCAAATTCGTAACAAACCAGTCGTATAAGGTGTAACCATTGTAAACGCGTGCGGTAAGTAAAATACTAGGTAGTATTCACTTTCCATGCGCTCGTATACATTGTCAGACCGAATATGTCGACGACAAAAAGAGTAAAAAAAAATAAAATAAAACCTTCCGTAGGCATTTACTGTAGATACGTCACGATAATAATAGTAATAATGATTCGAGCGTCTGTATCACCGGACAAGAACGGACTCGTTATATTATTGTTATTATATTTTACAGTGGTATGGCAGGTATTATAGAGCCGGCGGCGAAAAATAATATTATTACTTATTAGGTAGACACCTATATATATTATTTAGGCAGTGGCGCGCCGACTGCTGGCTAGCCACGTGCTCGTGCATAGTGGTCTCCAGGTATAGGTGGGCGGTGGAGGACTTCTGCACGACAACCGAGTAGGAGACCATTGTGAAGTCGTTCGGTTCCAATGCGTAAAATATTATTATTAATACTATCATCATCGTCGTCGTCGTCGTCATTATTATTATTATTATCATCATTATCGTAGTTGTACAC